TACCCAGTAATAAAAAGGGACACAGGGGCTCTAAAACCATATCGCACAATGTGGGACCATCCTTCCAAAACACCTGGGAGTGTGTTGGATGCTGGCAGTTTTTCAGCCAAAGAAGCTCTTGAAGAGCATGCAGATTTGAAGCATGTAGAAAGCATTTGCTTTGCATTTTGAAGGAGGTAATTTTGTATTTTGTTTTTTTTTTTCATTTTATTTTATGGTGTCACCTTAAAGGGAGAGACTGTAATTGCTGGGCTGCTTAGGATTTCTTTTTGCTGCTAATCTTCAAACATGAAATATAGACATGCTCGTGTGTAAACAGGCACAGTGGCTAAATGATTAGCACTTCCTCCTGGCAGTACTAGGGTCGTTGGTTCGAATCCCAACCAAGGCACCACCTGCCTGGAGTTTGCATGTTCTCCCTGTGCCTGCGTGGGTTACCTCTGGGTACTCCGGTTTCCTCCTACACTCCAAAGACATGCTGGTTGGTTAATTGGATCCTGCCTAAATTGGCCCTAGTATGTGTATGGATGTAAGTTAGGGACCTTAGATTGTACGTCCCTTGAGGGTTAGGGACTGATGTGAATGTACAATATATATGTAAAAGCGCTGCGTAAATTGATGGTGCTATATAAGTACCTGAAATAAATAAATATGTGAAAGTCAGGTAAACAGTCGAGGCAATCACTGGCACAAGGAATGCAGAAGGAAGTTAGGCTGACACACCTCAAACCCCCCCAGTCCCCCCCGCATTCCTTTTGCGGATGCTTGCCTGGGGCAAGTGCTGGGAGCCAGAGACAGGTGCTCACTAACAAAGAAACCATCTCCCTGCGCTAGCTGCGCTGTTGGGCAGCCGTGTGCCGAATGGGGTGCCCTGATCAACATTGCAGCTAGCATTACAGGGCACCTAGGAAGAGGGGGAACAAAGTACTAAATGTAATTTGTCCCATTCGGAATTGAATACTGTAAAAACAAAACTATCTTACTTCTTTAACATCAGGGTCAGTAAGTCTGGACTGATGGCAGATATCCAATACATATTTACTTCACTTATCAGTTACAATGAAATTAAACAGCAATCACAAAAGTTGGCACTGCAGCCATGTGTACAGCTATCCTAACCAGTTCTGTGGTTTGTTGAAGCTGTACAAATGAGTAGGTAGACACATGAACATTTCCCTGTTGGTAGATTCTAAAAAAAAGCATGCTATACTGGCATACATGTAGCTGTATAACCAGACAGGCTATTGAGAAATGAGGAAAAAAAAAAAAAGAAAAGAAAAAAAAAAGGTCCTCCCAAAACACAGTGAAGCACAGTAGAAACTAGAAGGAAAAATGGATTCAATAAAATTTCAGCAAATTTTGGATGGTAACTTGATGCCATCTGTGAAAAAGCTGAAGTTAAAGAGAGGATGGCTTCTACAAATGGATAATGATCCTAAACACACACTCGAAATCCACAGGGGATTACATCAAGAGGCGTAAACTGAAGGTTTTGCCATGGCCTTCACAATCTCCTGACCTCAACATCATTGAAAATCTATGGATAGACCTTAAAAGAGCAGTGCGTGACAGACAGCCCAGAAATCTCAAAGAACTGGAAGACTTTTGTAAGGAAGAATGGGCAAAGATACCTCAAACAAGAATTGAAAGACTCTTGGCTGGCTACAAAAAGCGTTTACAAGCTGTGATACTTGCCAAAGGGGGCAGTACAAGATATTAACTCTGCAGGGTGCCCAAACTTTTGCAGACACCATTTTTTTGTTTTCTGTTATTTTGAAAGTGTAAATGATGGAAATAAAATCTAACTTTTGTTGACATATTATAAGAATGTCTAATCTGTAATTTGATGCCTTTTGGAGATTTTTCCATCTTTCCTTGGCTTCTTTATGCACATTAATACAAATTTTTAGCTGGGGTGCCCAAACTTTCGATCCCCACTGTAACTTCAAATTGTTCCAGAAAATATGGTTACTCACTGGCGTCCCAAGGGCCAAACGAGCACCCAGAAACAGAGATACCTCCTGATGTTATAACCATCACTTCAGCTAGTTCAGTCAAGCTGGATACTCCCAGTGCAGTGTATGTGGGATACAGTGCAAAATAGATAGCTCTACAGTGTAAATTAGTATGAATTAGGGTTTCTTCACACTGGTTTGGCTGCAGTGCAGGGTACCCACGGAATTCCCATAGACTTCTATTATGTCCCACATTTTTAGTGTGTTCTCTGAAAGTGCAAAAGTAACAGCATGCAAGACTTTTGGTGAGCTTTCAGAAACACACCAAAAATGAAGGACATAATAGACGTCTATGGGAAACTGCAGGTTACCCACACAAAAGGTGGCCATGTGAAAGAATCCTTAAGATTACTTAAAATGGGTGTAACTCAAAAGTGTGCCCCTGTATCCAGTTTCCTTCCAAGAAGCAATAGTAGGATGGTTTAGGATAACAAATAGTCATACACACATGGCTGAATTATAATTATTAGGGTTATACTGTGTGTGTCCATTCCTTCAACAGGTCAATTTTTTTACCAAGTTTGAATCAGTATAAAAAACAAACAAAAAACTGCTCTCACAAAACATATGTGAATGTTCTGTCCTGTGCTCCATGTTCCAGTCATGAATATAAATCGATGGAAGAGGGCAAAGACTCCGTATCATTCTTCAATCCTGGGAGAAACTAAACATTTGCATATCCGATTTACCTACCTACAGTGGATATAAAAAAAAAGTCTACACACCCCTGTTAAAAAGTAAGGTTGCTGTGATGTAAAAAAATGAGACAAAGATAAATGATTTCAGAACTTTTTCCACCTTTAATGTGACCTATATACAGTACAACTCAATTGAAAAACAATCTGAAATCTTTTGGGGGGGGGGGGGGGGGGGGGGGGGGGGGGGGGGGGGTAAACGTAAAAAAAAAACTAAAAACAACGTGGTTGCAGAAGTGTGCACACCCTCTTATAACTGGGGATGTAGCTGTGTTTAGAATTGAGCAATCACATTCAAAATCATGTTAAATAGGAGTCAGTACACACCTGCCATCATTTAAAATGCCTCTGATTAACCCCAAATAAAAGTTCAGCTGTTCTAGTAGGTCTTTGCTGACATTTTCTTAGTCGCATTCTGCAGCAAAACCCATGGTCCGCAGAGAATTTCCGCAGAGAGTTTCCAAAGCATCAAAGGGATCTCATTGTTAAAAGGTATCAGTCAGGAGAAGGGTACAAAAGAATTTCCAAGGCATTAAATATACCATGGAACACAGTCATCATCAAGTGGAGAAAATATGGCGCAACAGTGACATTACCAAAAACTGGACGTCCGTGAAAAATTGATGAAAAAAGACGAGAAGAAAACTGATCTGAGACCTACAGCAACATTAAAGGAGCTGCAGGAATATCTGACAAGTACTGGCAGTGTGGAATATGTGACAACAATCTCCCATATTTTCATATGTCTGGGCTATGGGGTAGAGTGGCAAGACAGAAGCCTTTTCTTACAAAGAAAAACATCCAAGCACGGCTAAATTTTGCAAAAACACATCTGAAGTCTCCAAAAAGCAAGTGGGGAAAATGTGTTATGGTCTGATGAAACCAAGGTTGCACTTTTTGGCCATAATTCCAAAAAATTTGTTTGGCACAAAAACAACACTGCACATCACCAAAAGGACACCATACCCAAAGTGAAGCATGGTGGCGGCAGCATCATGCTTTGAGGCTGTTCTTCTTCAGCTATAATTGGGGCTTTAGTCAAGATAGAGGGAATTATGAACAGTTCCAAATACCAGTCAATATTGGCACAAAACCTTCAGGCTTCTTCTAGAAAGCTGAACATGAAGAGGAACTTCCTCTTTCAGCATGGCAACAACCCAAAGCATACTGTACATCCAAATCAACAAAGGAATGGCTTCACCAGAAGACTAAAGTTTTGGAATGGCCAAGCCAGAGCCCAGACTGAATCCGATGGAAAATCTGTGGGGTGATCGGAAAGATGTCTGTGCACAGGAGATGCCCTCGCAATCTAACAGATTTGGAGTGTTTTTGCAAGGAAGAGTGGGCAAATATTGCCAAGCCAAGATGTGCCATGCTGATAGACTCATACCCAAAAAGACTGAGTGCTGTAATAAAATCAAAAGGTGCTTCAACAAAAGTATTAGTTTAAGGGTATGCACACATATGCAACCATATTACTCAAGTTTGTTATTTTTACTTCCCTCCACCTAAACGATTTCAGTTTGTTTTTCAATTGAGTTGTACAGTTTATAGGTCACATTAAAAAGTGGAAAAAGTTCTGAAATGATTTATCTTTGTATCATTTTTTTTACATCACAGAAACCTGACATTTTAACAGCAGTGTGTAGACTTTTTATATCCACTGTATATCTCTGTATACAAAAATGATTTGGGTATTTTTTGTTTTGTTTTTGAGAGAAGGTAACCTCTGCTTAAAAAACTTTTTTTCATCATGTGCTCAGTTTCAATTGGAAAAATCTGAAAAGTAAGCCAAGGATACATTCATACGGGTATGCAGGGCCATATAGCATGCATATCATTGCAGAATCCTGCGCCTGAGAGACACAGGTGTTACATACAGTACACATCATTGACCGGATGTTGCAGTATACTGGTAAACACATATCATTGATCTGTACAGGTGACTGTACACAACACCTGTGATTTCCATTCCCAGGATTCTGCATGAACATGCAGACTGTACAAACACCGAACACCTGTGTGATTAAGCACAAAGGCCACAAAATATTACAGATTTAGGTCTTAAGGGATCAGTTAATTTGCATACAAGTAGGCCTACAAACATCAGAAAGTGAAAAAAAATGTCATTTATTTATCTACGGATCTTGGCAGCTCTGCAATTAAAAACTACGGGCAGATTTTTGTCATGACCAGAGTTCTTTACATACCATTGACATTTTACACACCTGGATGTACTATTCAATGCCATTTATGTAGGTATTTGCACAGCGTATTATGCTGGTCTTACCTTTGGTATTTTAGCGTACTTTCCTGTCCTTGTGTCTCGGATTAAACTTATATCTAAAATATCAACTTCCTGTAAGAATAAAACAAAGGCAAAAGTTACTGACAATATATATTATCTCATGAATACACAACACTGATTGTATCTTTCTTCAACTTGAGATGACAACTACTATAAAATGTATGTTTGGTATGCAGAACTGTTCCATTATTCAACAGACCTATTACCTGTCACAGTCATTTTCCCCGTACACTTACTGTGCTGACCATTTATGTATAGCATTTTTAAAACTCCACTTATAGTGCATATTATATGTGTTATGCTATTCATATTGATATTTAAAAGAAATTGGAACTAACATTTAGAAAGCAGCAACTGTAAGCTACAAATCCAACACTAGTTCCCATCAATTGAAGCTTGGTTATGCTGGCCCATCGACCAACATAAGCCCTAAGGGCCAGTTCACACCACGTGCAGTCCAGTGCATCAAAAAAGCACTGATAGTAGGTTACATGGTTTCCAATGCCATAGTTCACCCCAGAGTGGTCAGTTACAGTGGGATTCAGTTTCAGAAAAAAAACAAAAAGTTGCTTTTTTTTGTGCACTGAACTGTCAAACTTTGATACTGTACCTTGCGACACTGCAAATAAAATTTGCAACTGCAGTCACATAGGCACCGGCTATGCAGTCACCAACAATTTGCCCTCTTAAAATCTCAGTAAGCTCTGACATAACTCTGTATTACTAGCAGTGCATGCAGTGAATGACGAAAGTGAGGCTTCCCACCTGTTCGCTAGGTGTCTCATCACACAGCAGAAGGAAAAGAATGTTACATCACTTCCGCTTTCAATGCAAAACATGTCACTTTCGCACCTGCAAGTCATGTAGTGTTTCCATTTTTTTCTTGTCTAACCCCTGTAACTAAAAACAAGCATGTAAACGTAAGAGCTTTATAAATAGGGCAGCACAGTGGCTAAGTGGTTAGCACTTCCACCTTGTAAGTACTAGAGTCGCCGGTTCAACCACGGCACCACCTGCCTGGAGTTTGTATGTTCTCCCTGTGTCTGCGTGGGTTTCCTCCGGGTACTCCGGTTTCCTCCCACACTCCAAAGACATGCTGGTAGGTTAACTTGCTCCTGTCTAAATTGGCCCTAGTATGTGTATGTATGAATGTGAGTTAGGGACATTCGATTGTACACCCCTTGAGGGTTAGGGACTGATGTGAGTGTACAATATATATGTAAAAGCGCTGCGTAAATTGATGGCGCTATACAAGTACCTGAAATAAATGAAATAAATTGAAAAAAAAAAATTTAAGTGGTTGTAAACCACAAAAAGGAAAATAAAAACATATTCTTCCTGCAAAGTTCATGTCATATTCTGCTAGTATGCATTGTATAGTAGCACATTATTAAAGATTTACCTAAAAAAAACGAATTCAAATAGTCGCAGCCCCCGAACCTGGAAGGAAGACTGGTTGAATATTGAAGCCCTGTCAGTTGTCATCGCTGACAGGGCTTCAATCTTCAATCAATCTTCCTTCCGGGTTCGTGGGTTGCGACCATGTGAATGTACAGGGGAGTCACAGCCACGGCACAGCTCTGTCAATGGATGGCATGCTGTCCTTTGAGAGCACAGTGCGCATACACCGGCGACATTACCAGCGCTGCTAAAGTAAATATCTGTTAAACGGTGCACGTTTAGAAGGTATTTACCGTACCTGCAGCAAAAAAACATACACGCTTCCCTTTTCCTATAAGCCTTTTCTTCTAAAACCTGTAATGGGAGAATGCCATTGAACTGTAAGCTGCTCTGAGTAATTGTATTGTACGTATGCACCAAGTAAAATGCTGTCTGACATGTCAGTTCTACACAAGTAAATCTCTGTTAGACTAACACTTCTGTGATGTGTTCTTCCTAACCTTTAGTCAAACCAGTTCTTGTAAATAAAAGAAGCAAAGAAAATGTCAGTGTATGTGTCATTTCATGACATCTGTAGTGCATGTGCATGCATGCATATGTTATTGAATGCATTTACAATTGTAAGTATTTGTATACACAGGAACAGGGTTTGGCTGGGAAGGACAGTGTTTATCTGAACATGGAGAGGGGAATAGACAGAGAATATAAAAAATGTAAACACTGAAACCAACTCTCTCCTCCTCCTCCTCCTGACATCCACCGAGTCCATCATCGCAAGACAGGACCTGACAGAGCCAACGCACTGAGAATGAGGGACTAGAAAAGAAGGACTAGTGTGGCAGAGGAACCGAGAGAAATTGGGAGAGTGTATAAAGGTGTGTGGTTAGGAAAATGAAAGAAAATAGAACAGGAATTGACTCAGGGGGCGTAAAGGTAGCAAAATACTGAGGCCGTGGGAAATAGAATGAGACTGCATATCCATCCGGGATCCAGATGTGGAGGAGGGGTGGAGGCACAAATGGACACATCCAGATGTGTCAAAGGCTCAAGAAACACAAGGGAGTTAAAACGGACAAAAAAAAAAAAAAAAAGAAGAAGGGGGTTGTCAAACAAAGAAGGGAAAAAAAAAAAAAAAAAAAAAAAAAAATCAAGGAGGAGAAAAATTTCATGAAAAACGTACAAGTGCTAAATGATCAAAACTGGGACAAGAAATATCCAGCACCTTCCCACACTAACAAATCACAATGTCATCTTCCAGAGAAAGGTTAAACCAGGACAGGGAACATCCCAAAGGCAGCAAATGGCAACCTAACTGCTTAATCTCTGCTTCCTTTTTCCTTCATGACCCACACTGTAAGGCTTGGTTCAGACCTATACGTAGAAGCTTGCTCATGCACCTCGCTTGCCCTACCCACGAGAAAACAAAGGGAAAGAGATCCCCTACACTTTTATATAAATTGTGCTGCACCAAACCATGTTTATCACCAGCAGTCTGACAATGTGTAGGGGTGCCATTAGCAATGGACGACACCTCCAGCATGTCTGCTGTAGAGCAGTGCGTTTGTGCGAGCCGGGAAATTTCACCATCTTGCACGGGTTCCCGACACACATAGATCGGACATACAATAGCATGATTCTATTCCAATTCTAGCCAGAAGAGTATACAGTTCTTGGTTACGGCACTGTATACTACTGTTTACTAATTGGAGTGAACGGGCCCCTTAAATCTCATAGTACAACCCCGGAGTGAACGGCCCCTTAAATCTCATAGTGCAACCCCGGAGTGAACGGGCCCCTTAAATCTCATAGTGCAACCCCGGAGTGAACGGGCCCCTTAAATCTCATAGTGCAACCCCGGAGTGAACGGGCCCCTTAAATCTCATAGTGCAACCCCGTATTTACCAGTTACACTGCTTTTATTGATCAATATTATACACTCACAATGGATAAAAACAGAGAGCAGTGTTCAATACAAATATGGATTCTCTCACCACACTTCCGTTTTTTGTGTCACTGGTTTGGGAACGCTGTTCTCTGTTTTTTTTATCCACTGTGTGTGTATATTCAGCAATAAAAGCATGTTAACTGGTAAATATGGGGATGCACTATGCGACATCTTCCCTTCTTTTGAGCTTTATCTACATTGGAAGCATTGAAAACTAGTCTCTTAAAAAGGGACTCCATGTAGGAAGTAGCCGCTAATAGCTGGAGATGGAACCATATGAACAAGCAGTTAAAGCGCAAGTGACCTATTACCTTAGGTCAAACATTCAAGTGGAGTTCCAGTCTTTTTTTAAACTTCCAATATTTCCAATGCCCCTCCAATGTACAGTGCGAAATGGAAATTATTTTTTTTGTTTGTTTCTAAATAACTTTATTATAATTCTTCGGGCGGCACTTCCTGTCCCGGCCGCCTAGGAGATGACGTCATTAGGCGATTCCCATTGACTCCTGGGATATCAATGTCATCTATCCCAGGAGTCTTTGGGAAGTCTAATAATGTAATGTGATTGACAGGTTGCCATAGCAACAGGGTGGGTACTTCTGCTGCCGCCACCATTGCTACGGCAACCTGCACTAAACAAAATGCACCGCGAAGTGTCATTACTGCGCAGGCTCGAGATCGGGAGGTGCATGGTGGGTAGCCAGCTGCACCGAATCCTGGAAAAAGACACAAGTGGCCTTCAGATGCCCACATCCTAAATGCCCACATCTGCCTGCCCACACATCCTAGATGCCCACATCCTAGATGCCCACATCTGCCTGCGTCAGAGATCAGGTTCATTTTTAAAGATTTTAAGTTAACCAGCACAAATACAATTCTAACAGTATTCTAAGTTGATTATGGGGACTGGAGCTCTGTTTTAAGGTGAGTGGATCCTGGCACTGTGGGCACTGAAGCTCTTTATTAAAGGCACTTTATGAAGGATTTAATTGCTTATGTCACCGAATTAATATACGGCATCACCCCTACAGCAGAAGTATTGTTATACGAAACACGTCTTGGAGGAACCCTTGCATGCCTTGACATCACGCCGCCGGATCACGGAGGTCCGGCGGCCACCATTATTTATATACTGGTCAGTGTATTCGCCAGCTTTATGCTGCGCGTCTGCTTATATTCACAGTCACCCTGTGCCTATATATACTAATGTATGCATACCATCTATACCTTTTTATGCTCAATAAATATTTGACTTACTACACTATGGGTATCCATACATTTGTTGCTCTGCACTGAGCATTCTAACCCCAGCCCAGGACCCCAGGTGATCCATTTGGACCAGAGGAGGGACGTAATAGACCAGACCTGTTTACTAACAGCCCAATAGAGGGGCATTCTGAGAGGCATTATTACTTTACCAGGCTGTACCTTCTCGAGACCTCCGGCCGTTTGGATTTATATATGTGCGTTAAGATTGCGCTTCCGGTGAGTGGGCAATCTTACCATTTTTTTTCACCGGATATCTCACTGGAATTTATACTGGGATAAGAGAACTGTCACGTTATCATCCATTTTTGGACTCACCTACCAGCACTCTCCATACAAATAGAGGGGCTCGTTCTATGATTTTATTGTATAAGATTTTACACATGATTTTAATTTTGTGTTTATAAGTTTATTGGTATATTTGTTCTAGCGCTGCACT